TGGGGGCAGAAACATGGGGATACTTCTTAGTGGGAACAGCGTCCCTGCTTGGGATGAGGAACGAGTTTTGGAAACAGTGGCGATGGTTGCACAATATCCTGAATGCGACTGACGCCACGGAAATGCACACTTAAAAATGGTTAAAATGGCAAAATCTGTGCTGTATGTATTTTACCGCAATAAAAACAAGTTAATAAGGAGAAATTCCACACTGCTATAACATGCGTTACCTCCCACAGTCAGGTGTTCAGTAATGAAATAACCCGCCCTTTGACCTGAAAACCCGACCCTCCCTGAGTGATGAGTGGGAGACAGGGACGACGAACCCTCCAAATGTCAAGTCTCCCTGGGGCAGCTGGTCTCTTCCTGGTGGTCTGGGAGCTGCTCTGGGCGGGGTCTGCTTGGATGCCTGGAATCCTGCCCCAGTGCAGGCCCCCTGTGCCCACAGCTTCCAGGTGGTCTCTGCTCACATCGTGGGTGTCTGGGACCCCCCAGGGCTGCACCCGGCTAGAACGCCCTGTCCCTGTGGCTCCACAGGTCCCACAGCCCAGGGCTGGTTCCACCACCAAGACACCCAGTGCACAGGAGCTCCGAGCGCCTATCCGTGTGAGTGTGGCTCACCCGAGACCGGAGAGGGCAGGAAGGGACGGGGGCAGTTGTTACAGAGGAGGGTGGCGCTGAGGGCTACCTACCAGTGGCCCAGTTGGCCAACAAAGCAGAGGGGAAAACACGGATAAGTATTTAAAACTAAGGTGTGCCATCTCCCTGGGATTCATCTTCCAGGCCATGGCAGTTATGTCTGAATTAGGGACACCCTGGAGACACGTGTTGAGCCCAGGCCCCACACCTGGCCCAAGGTCCCTCACAGGACGCAGCCTCTCCTGCGTGTGGGTGGTAGAAGCTGCAGGGGCATCTTGTCCTTGTTCCTATGATTTGACATTAGGAAGAGACACAGAATATGATGTCGGGGCTTTGATTAACAATAACTCAAAACTAAAGAGACCCTGGAATGCATGGACCAACTGAGTGCTAATATCTGGACTCGCATCAAAGCCATGAATACAAGCAGCATCGCGAAACCTCACCAACCCCAAAGCCAACCTTTCGACTGTGGCCCATAATAATGACTGAACGGAAGGGCCTGGAAAAGCTCCAGAGGAAAGCTCAGGATGCTGGGAGAACCTGAATGGAAAAGGAAAAACGTCTGGAATTAACCCAGCCCTGCTTGCCCACAACCTCCAATGATTCTAAACCGCTTACAGGGCAAGACCCAAACTCCCCACTTGGCTGGCAGTTCCTGCCAGGCACACGGCACATCTAGCTTCCTCCCGCAGAGCCCGCCCCGCTATACCCTCTGCCACGAGCCACCCTCCAACTCCTGGATGAGCGACACGCATGCTGGTGCACGCAGGACTGAGCACATTGCCCCACACAGCTCTTTCTGTGACTTGGGACCTGCAGGTGCCCAAGACGCAGGGAGCTCTCGTCCCTGCACATGGACAGTGAGCTCAGGGAAAGCAGGGCAGTTATTTCAGGCTGAAAGACACTCCTTGAATATGATTATCTTTTTATTTTTATTTATTTTTTAGAGACAGGGCCTCGCTCTGTTGCCCAGGCTGGAGTGCAGTGGCGTCATCACAGCTCACTGCAGCCTCACACTCTGGGCTCTAGCGATCCTCCTGCCTCAGCCTCCCGAGGAGCTGGGACGGGATGACAGGTGTATGTCACTGTGCCCAGCTGAACATGAATATCTTATCTGAGGAGGAGAAGATGTGGATGCACTGAGGGAGGTGAGAGAGACACCAGGGTGGGGAGCAGGGAAAACAGCAGGGAGGAGGAGCGCTGCAGACATGAAGTGGGTTCTATAGCTTCTAAGAAAGAACACACAGAAAAGCATGTTAACTTCTTAAGATAGTTTCACAGCAAGCAGAGAACCCAGAATGACTTCCGGAACATCCCAGCTGACTGCCAAAGCAGGTCCGGTGGTGGTTTCACCACAGACACAGACGTGAAGACAGAAGCACTGGGTCCTCAGGAGCCTCGGAAGGTACCTGGCCTCCAAGTCCCCGCCAGGTCCCCGAAGTGAGCCCCGCCAGCCACGCGGGCTCCAGCCAGACCCTCCCCGCACCAACCCACCAGCTCTGCTTCCACTGAACTCACTGACTTTGACTGAAGTGAATGATTCACCCTGGTCTTCCTTTTAATGTTTGTTTTGCGTTCGCTGTTCATGGAGGTTTCAGAGACAGTGGCAGACCCACTGCCCTGACCAGTGGTCCCTGTGACTGGCACCTGCTGGGACAAGCCACTGAGCGCCCTTCCTATTAGAAACGGTGGCCAGAACCCAGAGCAGTCGCCATCCCTGCTGCAGCCAAGGCTGTGACGTCTGCCTGGTTTCTCCCTGGGGACATGGGGAGGCAGGACGGAGAGACACCAAAGCGGGATAAGACAGAGAAACGGGGATTAGGAGGAAGCTTCCCTCCAACCTGGAATGCCCTGAGGGAATAGCCAAAGGCCACCTTTTGTTCCACGTGTCCAGGCCCCAGGCCCTGAGGAGGGAGCAGACAGAAGAAGCGAGCGGAGGGGCTCTGCCAAACCCAGCTCCCGCTGCCTCCCAGCCACCCGCCCTCCACGGCCGCAGTGACGCAGGAGCCAGGGTGGACCGCAGACCCCAGGGCTTGCCACGCCAACCCCCGCCCGGCCCCCGCCCGGCCCCCACCCGGCCCTGCACAGGCTCAGCCATGCTCTGCCTTGGCAGCCCCGACTGCAATGCACACCACCAGGACACGTTTCAGCGTGATGGCTTTAATAGCATTTGCAACAAAAACCACAGCTGGATGGAGGAGGGTTTCTTGCATTTTTGTTTTCCCCAGAAATTTAACTCATTCTGACTTACGCTTGGGCTTCAACTGTACAGCTAAGAATTCTTCTCTAAATAGGAAACATGTGTTTTGCCTCGAAAAGATAATCTTGTGTGAAACTAGGTTGCTGCTGCGAGGAAGGAGGCCTGCATCTGACCAGTGTGCTGCCCTCGTCCCTGTGCCCCACCGGCCCCTTCCCAGCCCGTCCCTCTCCCACTGCTGCACCCTGATACCGGGGTCCTGACCGCTCCCAGCGTTGAACCCTGCTGGGCTCGCGGGATGCCTCCCAATGACAACACCTGTGCCGTCACAGGGAAAGACAGCATCCCAGAAGGTCACTGAGGAGCCCTGCTCTGCCCTCGGCTCTCTGCCCCTTCATGCTGACATCTCCCATCCTTGCTGGCCTTGACGTGAAGGGCACACTGCACATGGCGTTAGAGACTGGACATCTGGAAACCGGAGGGCCCTTTCAAACTGCACAGCCACCATCTGAGCCAACAGGAAAAATTCCTGTTTTTCATCCAAAAGTGTTGTTCCCACGTCAACCTAAACATGACAGTGAGACACAGAGTGAGTGTCTGAGCCGCAGACACCTTCCTACGGGGAGGGGCATGCTCAGATTCCACCGGCCTCAGGCCCACGCCCTCTCAGAGGCTCTCAGGACGCCAGGAAAACCCAGGCAAGCAGGTTTGCCTTCATAGTATTAAGGTTTCTCAAAAACCCCAAGCAAACAAGACCTATGCAGAGTGAGTTCTGAAACCAATGGGCCTATGAAAAGAAGTGACTAGTAATCTGCAGAATGTGCTAGTGACAGCTAAAAAGCAGCACTTTTGTGTGTCACTGCTAAAAATGACTAAGTGAGACCAGGAGGAAAAAGTGACAAGTGATGTCTATTTAAAATACCCCATAGCAAAGATGAACACTTTTTTCCCAAAAAGGAAAGAGCTGAGCTCAAAGGAGTTTATGCTTACGCAGACACATAAAGTAAAAATTAGTTTTTAAAAACAGGTTTGAGAGATACACCGTGTTTACCAACCTCCTGATGGAGGTGGGCAGAGGTGCCCACGACACCCTCTTTCCAAAAACGGGGCTGAGCCTGAAGCAGACCCAGCCTGCCCGCTGACTCGCCGGGCTCAGGGACGGAGAGCCTGCACCCCCACGGACACGAGCCACAGGTCCAAGTGCACACTGGCAGCAGAGGAAACGACTTTGCTTCTCAACAAATCAACTGCCAGGCAAAGACCCGGCAGAGGGAGGCTGCAGGTTACGAGGCACTTGCCGGCATGACGAGCCTCACAGGGTGACTCCAGCGAGCGGCGCCTCAGCGAGATGGCCGGCAGGCTTCAGCACTGACCTGACGGTCGATGACACTACGGTATTACTTTTTACTTTATTTATTTTTTATATTTTAAGGTGGGAAAGGCATTACGGTTATTTTTAATGGTTCTTATCTTTTAAAGTCACGTACTGAAGTAGCTGCAAATGAAGTGATATGATGTCTAGGTACGGCCTCGAAACTTATTTGAAAAGGAGGAAGAAAAGCCAGTATGTTGTCCAGCAATAATATAGAAAGGCAAATTAAACATTTTTACATCGAATACTTAAATTTCAACTTCCCAGGCAAAGTGGAAAGCAGAACCCGAACGCAGGCTGCAGGCACACACGCCCAGAGCGCACGTACACGCACACGTGCAGCACAGCACACTCCACATACCACACACACACACACAGCACACATACACACGGTACATATAAATGCACAGAAAGTGTGTGGCACACTACACACAGCGTGTACACTCATGCGTGCACAGGCACAGGACTCACAGAGTACACATACACACACACACACACACACACACACACACACACACACCCGCGTGCAGATAGATGGACGAAAGTGGCTGCCAGGGCAGCTGTGTGCGAGGGGATGCGTCTGAGTGTCGTGTGTGTCTGCGTGCCATGAGGCATGTGGACGCAAAACAGGCACTGCCTGTGCTCCCCGCTGTGGCTGCAGCAGGTGGGTGGCACAGCCCCCTCCAGGTGCAGCGGGTCCCGAGCATGTTTCCGGTCGGGAGGGGAAGGGAGCAGCCTGTGGAGCGCAGGGACACCACACCAGCTACCGGGGCTCTGAAGACACCTTACCTGGGCCAGTTCCTTGGCTTCCCCCTCGGAGAAGAGCGGCTGGCTCACCTGCAGCTGCGGTGGCCCACTCTCCTGGTCCCCCGAGGGCGGCTCTCGGTGCACGGTGCAGCCCATCAGCCCGGACGCTGGAAGGGAAAAGGACTGTCACAGTCAGGGTGACATCTTCTGGAAGGTGCAAACCGCCGAGAGCACTCAGGACTTCAGAGAGCAGTACCCGGGAGGGTGGCGGCCCTGAGTCTGGTGGGGCGTCCCCTGTCACGTCACTGGTCCCCTGCCCCGGCCTCTGTGAGCCACACCACACGGGGCAGACTCCGCAGTGCTGCAGACACTCGGGGGTAATTCTATTTCTGCCTCTGAGAAGAGAGGACCTTTATCCAAGAGTGGTAATTTTTTTTTTTTTTTTGGGAAAAAGACTGAAGATTTAGAGTAGAAAACACAAGACTCACTGGCCCCCAGTGCAATGCACACAGAAGCCAGGACTGGGAAAGCGCAGTGGCATCCGAGTCACCCGAAGCACGCTGGGGTTCTGCAGAGCACAGGAAGCGGCTGCCCGCCCAGGCCGAGCGACGCTCGGTGTCCGAGGCGGGAGGTGAATCAGAGTCGCCCTGCGGTCAGGGCACACGGGGCTGAGCGGTCTCACCCCAGGTGGAGGACACCGGCCATAAACAGTGCGGGTGGTGCTAACATGTGGCTCGTGGCCACCTCCTGCAGAGGGCCACCTGTCCTTTATTTAGAGAGCCTCCGCACCTCCTGGCCTAGATAAGGCTCGATGAACATCTCGTTTGCTCTTCTCCATGGCACCCAGCACCCCAACGTCTGCTCGTGAGGATGCTGGGACAGGGAGTGGCACGGGAAGGGTGGGTGGCCTCAGCACCCCTCCAGGATCCCGCCGTGGAAAGCAGAGCCCCTGCTCCCGACAGTGGGCTGGGACAAGGCAGTCCGGGAGCCGCTGCTAATCACGCTGTCAGGAGGGAGAAGGAAAAGGAACTGCATCTGGGGGTGAAGGCTCCAAGAGTGGGGCCCAGCTGGCCAGTATCCAGGATGCCCAGCGAGACCTGCCCTCCATGGGGAGAGACCTCACACTCGCTCACACCCCTCCAGCTCCAACCTTATCACCTCTTAATATTCTCAAGTTCACTGTCCCTGGTCCTTGTTAGCACAGGCTGAGCGGAGGAGGGCCAGCCACGCCCAGGTCAGCACAGGGACGCAGGTTTCCGAGGGGGGGCCCTGAAGAGGGACAGGATCTAGGCCAGGTGGAGAGAGCTCAGGCACCAGAGTTGGGGGAAGGAGGCCCCTCAACCTCACACCCACCACACAGGCACATTCTTCCCAGAAGCCCACACTTATTCCACTCTTCAAAAACAAAAGCCACCATGCTGATTTCATAACCTGCCTCTGCTCCTGCGTATACAGATGCATTTCCAAAGCTCTGCCCCAGCCAGCGCCTTCTGCTAATCAGAGCTTCCCCCAGGAGGCGGCCGACAGCCACAGCCTGCTGGGTCCTAGGGAGAAGCACTTCTCTGAGCCGGTCAGCAGGGTGCTCTGGCTGAGTTGAGCTATAAGACAGAGCAACAACAAAAGGACGTGTCCCTGGTACCTACCAGCCTGGGCCTAAGACCACCTCACAGTGCCAGTGCACCCCCCACCGGCAGGGCGGTATCTCTCACGGCCCAGGGTGGGCGTCCTCCTGCCTCAGGGCACCCCGTGCCCCATGCAGGCCCCGCCAGGTCCTCTCCCGTGGGGTCTGTCTCCCACCTCCAAGTGCTGACCTGGGGCATCCTGCTCTCCTTGGCACCTGTAGCTGGGCTCCCCCACCTCCGACGCAGGCTTCGAGGGCACAGCCTCCATGCCGCCCAGCTGTGTGCCCGCTTTCGTTTCAACTCCTGAGGCTGCGCCACAGAGAGATACACTGACCGCTCCTGAATTTTGACAAATGGGATTTTGCTTAAATACCCAGAAATGTGAAACAGAGGATGTTGCTAATTCCACGCCAGCACACAGGCTCCAGCCCTTCCTGGGACCCCGGGGGCTCCAGTTGGAACTTCTCTGCCTCAAAAGATGGCCTGAAGCTGCTGACCTCACCCAGACAAAACCCCCACGATCCGTCCAGCACATGCCTGTGCTTCCTGCTGTGGCCCACCCTGCCGCCAATGCTGCTGTGAGGACAGGCAGGAGGCCCTGGGAGCAGCAGAAGCCCAGGCAAGGTTCTCAGGGAGCAGGGCTCAGGCAGGGGAGGCCTGGCGGCCTCTCTGAGGTGGTGACGGCTGGCCAGCAACAAAGAAAACACTGGAAGGCAGACGGAGCCCTTGGGAAACACTACACTCAGTCCCCAGGAGGGTGCGGGAGGGCTCTGCGCCCTGAGCCTTCCTCCCAAACCCACAGCCCAGACTGACCACGAGAAAACGCAAGACAAACCCTGAGGGGCCATCCTGCACCCTGGGCCAGGCCTCTTGCAGGCTGTCAGAGCCCCAGGGGCCCAGGGAGATGCGAGGCCAATGGTCAGCTGGGGTCCTGGGAGCTCCTCAAGCACAAGGAGGAGATCTGTCTAGAATAAAATAAAAAGTGGGTTCTAGTGATGACAACACAACCACCACACGAAGGAAGGTGTTAACAGGGCGGGGAGCCGGGGAGACACAGGGACTCTACTATCTTACGCCTCTTCTGCAAATCTGAAGCTGTTCTAAAATAACAAGGTTATTTTAAAGATGCAATGCAGAAAAACAGCAATCTGCAATAGCACGTCCCACACCCCACACGGCTGGCAGGGCCCAGGCCAGGCTGTGACTTCTCCTGGCTGGCACAGACATTACCGCCCAGGTCTCCGGAAAGTCTCCCCGCCCAGAGTGTCACTCACAGGATGAGTGCCCGACCAGTGCTGCACGACTGCCACCATGTGGCCAGGCGCGCACGGGCGCTCACCCAGGGAGGCAGGGATTTCTGAGACATCAATCACAGTTTCCACCTCCCAGGGCCTGCAAAGCTTCCAACCAGGAGCAGTGAACGGAGAGGAACTGGCACAGAGTCACCCTGCTGTGACATGCGATGACAACAACAGCAGCAAGGTGGCAGTGACAGGGAAATCCTCACGGGCCATGTAAGTCCACGAGCATCACTAAGATCGCAGCAAACTGGATGCCATCTTGCTGGGGCAGCCCAGCTGGCTTCTCGCTGGTGCCCCTCGCCGTGCCCCATCTACCGCGTAGAGGTGCACCCAGCCCAGAGGAAGGAGCGCCCACACTCGGCCCTCCCAGACAGCCCAGCGGGGGGTGCGCTGGGGGAAGTCAGCACTGAGAAGGAGCCATCTGCCATCACAGCACAGCTCAACACACCCCACACACCTAAAACGACTCCAGTGACAGGCACGCCACAGCCCATGCGTGCTGTCGTCACATCGCAGTTATCCAACACCACCAAGGCCTGAGTGATGCTATGCAAGTAGCTACAGGCTCTCCCTGTGGCCACAGCCCACAATGTTCACCCTTAGGTAGGAAAGATCACCCTGGATGAACAACGAGGCCTAACCCCAAACATGGAAAACCCTTAAACCACATCAGAACCACTACACAGAGAAGGAGAATGTTCCTGTACACTTGAGCCCAGCATGGACTGCCCTGAGAATCCCACTTCCAATAAGCCTGGCCGGCGAAACACATGGGTGCGGACAGCACAAAAGGTGACACAGACCTGCGGTAGCACACCCCAACACCTCAGCTCCCAGAACCTCTCAGGACCCACACTGAGATGCAGCCCAACGGCAGGTACAACCTCCCCTTTCCCCCGAATCACACGCCTGTGCCACCTCTTCAGTCCTCACCCACCGGGACAGTCCCAACCTGCACAGGATGTCCTCACGCCTCCCGAGTCACACGCCTGTGCCACATGGTCTGTCCACTTGGGGAGCTGGTAGAGACCCTCTTCCTACCTCCTCCAGCTGGTCGCACCCTGGGATTCTGCCCCCTCTGCTTGCTCCCGTTAGTCATGGCGCCCGTTGGTCTTCTCATGTTGAAGGATGGATGTTATGTTACATCTCATCCCATCTCTCTGTTCCGTTTGCGTCCTCCTCTCCATCTGAAACCGCCCTCCCTAATTCAATTCCAGGATCACGGGCAGTTCTCTTTGATACAGTCACGTGTCACACCCAAGGAGGGTTTTGTGTCTGTGCCATGTTAAAGGTGTGTACCGCAGTCCTGGGGGTCCCAGTTGGCAGTGGTCACATGGCTGACAGCAGACTGCAACTGTCCCACCTGTCCCCACACCTGTCCAGGCAGGGTGCGGTGCTGTGCCGCCCCTCAAAGGGCACATGCCACGAGGGGCGTGGCTTGGACCCCTCCCTCAGGCTGGGTGGCCAGGCCGCCTGCTATGGGTCACCTGTTGGCTGGCACTGCCTACCCTTCTCAGCCTGATGTGGGTCAGCTTCTGTGTCCTGCCCTGACCTAGGGGCCACAGAAAAATCTGGAAATACCAAGAATGCTAGTTTTTAAATTAAGTTTTAAAGTAAATATTTCCAATATTTTGGTGCTTAGGGGACCAGGGCTATCACCACATATATTTAATTTTGGAACCTGAAGACATCTAGCTCCATTCATGTGTGAGGGAAACAGACTACTGAAACTGAAATCACCACTTAAGAGGAATAGAAAAGAAGGTGATGTAGTAGCAAACCTCTCTCACTTTTAACAGTGAGAGATTTGGCGATCAAAATTCATAAGGAAAGATTACTTGTATACATGCTATACACACACACACACACACACACCAAAGTATGTACCTGCAGGATATGTGTCCTATATAAACATTCACCTACACACGCACACACATTAGCTACAATGCTCACATTAGACAATGGAGTACTTCATGACTTTGGGATTTCTTAATCAGGGCTCAGAAACAAACTTAAGGGGGAAAGTGGTAGATTTTCCACAGCAAAATGAAAGATTTCTATAACAGAGGAAGGTGGTTTGGAAGAAGTATCTGCAGCCTCCAAAGTCTACAAGGGATTAATATTTAGAATAGCTAAGGAATTCTTGCAAATGGGGGAAAAAAAAAAAGACAGCCCAACAGGAAAGAAGAAAACAGAACAGGCAGCACACAGAGCAAAACTGCAGGCCCAGAACAAATAAGAAACATCAGATGCTTCCCCTCACAATGAATGAAAGGATGAAAGTTAAAGTAACATCGAGATGCCACCGGACCCCCATGACAATGGTGAACTACAGAGTCAGGCTCCCCAGCACTCGGGGGGAGCCGGGGCCTGAACGCTGTCCATGTACAAAGCACCTGTTGGCGTCTGGCCCCTCAGCCCAGCCCGGGTCAGGCCCAGCTGAAGCTCACACTCCACACGGGGCCTGCAGGAGAGCCCCCAGGGCCACTCGGCACAGCACCTTGACAAGGCGACAGACACGCTGATCCACACTGCACGGTTCTCAAAGATACACATCCCTAGACACATGTCTTGGCGGTGGGCTGGGAACGTGTCGATCAAACGACCAGGGACACAGGAGCATGGCAGGGCAGGGGTGGAGGAACAGAGACTCACCAGGACAGGTGTGGGCGGTGCCAGTTATAGCTGGAAGGGCTGGTTCTCAAGTCAGAGGGAGGGAGAAGAGAGACCAACAGGTGGGAACACTGAACTCGGAGCTTCCTTCCGTTCTGAAACCTGCATTCTGAAAGCCTTTTTGACTGTGTCTCAGTCCATTTTGTGTTGCTTTAACAAAATACCAAAGACTGGGCAATTGATAGAGAAAAGAGTGCATATAGCTCACGGTTCTGCAGGCTGGGGAGCACTACCTTCTGGCACATGCTTTTGGGATGTTTCCTAACATGGCAGAGAAGGTGACAGTGGAAGCGGAAATGTGCAGAGACAGACCCAAGGAGCACCCTGGCTCTCAAACAACCCACTCTAACCCATCCCTGCGGGACTAATCCAGTCTTGCCAGAGCCAGAACCCACTCACTACCGAGAGAACGGCACCAAGCCGCTCATGCGGGATCTGCCCCTGTGCCCCCACCTCCCAAACTTCAGCATGAGTTCCGGTGGGGACAAAAACCATATACAGACCACAGCACTGACCTAGTGTGAAAGCCACGTGTCTATCAAGTGTATGACAAATTTTGGTGACTCAAGGTTCACAGATGTCAAGTACTAAGGAGCATGGTCTGGAATTATCTCTATGTATAAACAAACGGGCCATCTCTCGTGAGCTGGAAGCCAACAGTGGCTCTAAGTGGTGCATCTGTAAAGTACTTCCTGTGCACGGGCCAGGTCTGGCTGTCATTTCAGAAGTCCACGCACACACTGCCTTGCTGGTCACCCACCTGAGTGCCAGACCGAGGTGCTCTTCTTCGCAGCAGGAGAAGCTTTCATGCTTCTGAGCATCAAGGCATCTTCCAACAACTCGATCTTCTTGCTGAACTGCATTTCTAAAATGGGGATGACCACTGGCAGCTTGGCGGATATCACGCGATAAGCCACATCGGGCTTTCCGATAAACCGCTGGCGGATGCTAATTTCATAGGGTGAATAGACCTTAATGTCATCCACGTCTTCTCTTTCAAACCTGTGCATGAGCAAAGAATCGGAGTCATGGATTTCTAACCCAGAGACAAGGACGGTGAGCCTCCCTGGCTTGACGTGAGACTCTGTCCTTTGGGAAATAATAGCAGGAATTTTGATCACTATCCCTTCCTTTCCAAAAGGTTCGCAACTGGCCGCCAAGGCACCTTCCCTGGGCTTTGTTTCTGGAGGCGTCTTCCAAAGCTTAGAGCTGAAGGGCCACCAAGAAGGAGATTCCAGTTCCGTCAGCAATCTGAAAAGGCAAAGAAAACACAGAAAAACAAGCTGATCAATTTTTAAAGAGTGCTACTTTTAGTTTTTTTTTTAGAAAACTGCTTTAACCTTTGCGAAGAACATTACCAATTTACAGTATTTCTCTTCCCTACTCACACCATGGAGCAGAGAGAGCAGGGATTATCATCTCCATGTTTAGGGCAGAAAACTGAGGCTCAGGGCAGTACAGACATCTTGCCTGTCGACACAAAACCAATCAGGAGTGAGACATAGCAAAACGCATACCTTTTGACTAGGATATTCCTTTTCCATACGGTGCTGCCTTGACCTAGGTAATTGGGATTCAAAATAAATCCTGACCTTAATCCTTAGAGAGCTATCTAAAAGAACTTTCTGTGGTAACGTAATGTTCTATGTCAGCACTGTCCAATACAGCAGGAGGCCAACATGCTACTGAGGCCTTGGAATGCAGCTAAAGTAACTGAGAAACTGAATTTTTAACTTAATTCAATTTTAATGTTGTTAGTGGCTACCACGTTGGACAGCAAAACTCAAAAGTAACCACTAATAACACTAAGAAATATATCTAAAAAGTCAATAGAAGAGAGAAACATGATGATAGGAAAGGAAAACAAAGGAACAAAGATCAAATGGAACAAATAGAAAACAGTGAGATTTAAACTAAACCATATTAGTATTCACACTAAACTAAACCAAACCATATTAGTATAGTGAGATTTAATCTCATAGTGAGATTTAAACTAACCATATTAGTATTCACACTAAACGCAGGTGGACTAATTCCTCTAATTAAAAAGCAAGCCTGGATAAAGAAACTACATATGGCTACATCTTGCTTACAAGAGACACACTATGAAACACAAAAACACAGATACATTGGAAGTAAAGGATTGGAAACAAGATATACCATGCTCAAAGTAAACTTTAAAACAAGAAGTATTACCAGGGGTAAAGATGGGCATCACATAATAACCAGAGAGTCAATCCAACAGAAAGACTCAACAATATTACATATGCATGGACCTAATAACATAACTTCAAAATCCATTCAGCAAAAAATTGACAAAACTAAAAGGGGGAATAGATGATCATAGTTGTAGATTTTAACACATTTCTCTCAATGATTGATAGAGCAAAAAGCCAAAAAAAATATTAGTAATAATGCGGGAATTTTCAACACTATTTAACCAACTTGACCTGACTGATATTTATAGAAACATCATCTAACAAGTGCTGAATACACACTCTTTCCAACTACCCTCAGAACATTCACAAGCAAGAATGTAATAAGTCTCAATACACCTCAAGGGCTAACATCATACACAGTACTGTCCCCTGTCCTCAAGGAAATGAAACAAGAAATCAACAACCAAAACATAACTAGAAAATCACACCCCTAAATATTTAATAATACATGATCAAAAAAGGAAAAAAAAATAGAAATTATTTGAAGTGAATGAAAATAAAAATACAATATACAAAAACTGGTGGGATGCAAATACAACAGCCATTAGAAATTTATAGCTCCCGATACACATATTTGAAAATTTCTTAGAAAGGTTTAAAAATCAGTGATTCTATCTCAAAAAGTTGTAAAAACAAGAGCCGGTTAAACCTAAAGAAAATAGAAAAGGGAGAAGCAGAATTCAATGAACTTGAAAACAGAAAAAAAAATTCAATATTAACAAGCTAAGAGTTGTTTTTCTGAAGTAATTTTAAAAATTAATAAACCACTAACTAGAAGTGATTTAAAAAAAAAAAAAAGTGGCCAGGCGCGGTGGCTCACGCTTGCAATCCTAGCACTCTGGGAGGCCGAGGCGGGAGGATTGCCTGAGGTCAGGAGTTTGAGGTTGCTGTGAGCTAGGCTGACACCATGGCACTCTAGCCAGGGCAACAGAGTGAGACTCTGTCACCAAAAAAAAAAAAAAAAAAAAAAAGAAATGAAAAAAAAGAGAGAGATACAGAAAATGCATTAGGAATGAAAAAGAGGACATGACCACAGATCTTGAGAGGGTTATGGGGGATATTAATATTATTCTCAATTCCACACCAATGAACTTGATTGACAATTATATGAAACAGAACAAAACACTTGAAAAACCCAACTTCTAAAACTGAGGCAAGAAAAAATTAAGACTATGAATAGCCTTACAAAGAAACCGAATCCGTAACAAGAAAGCTTGCCACAGAGAACACTATGATCCAGGTGCTTTCACTGATGAATTCTGCCAAGCTTATATGGAAGAAGTAACAGCAATCGTACACAAACCCTCCCACAGAAGAGCACAAGAGGGGATGCTTTACCCATTCATGTTACAAGACCAGCACGACTCTTCTACTGAAACCCGATGAGGATACTGTGAAAACACAAGTACATATCAACATCTTTCATTAACACAGAAGCAAAATTCCTTACGAAAATATTAGCAAATCAAATCTAGTGACATACAAAAAGAAAAATAGGCCAGGTGCATTGGCTCATGCCTGTAATCCCAGCACTTTGGGAGGCAGAGACAGGATGATTGCTTGAGCCTAGGAGTTCGAGACCAGCCTGGGCAACATAGTGAGACTGTACAAAAAAATTTTTAAAACAGAAAGAAAATATTAGCAAATCAAATCTAGTGAAAATAATAATATATCACGATTAAGTGGTATTTATCCCAGGAATATGAGATTGATTTAACATTTGAAAACTAATCATTGTAATTCATTTCATTAATAGAAAAATAAATAGAAGGCAAATTATATGATCACCACAATAGATGCAGAAAAAGAGCTTAAAAAATTTACTCATTTATGTTACAACTTCTAGCAAGCTACGAATAGAAGGAAATTTCCTCAATCTGATAAAGGGCCTCTATAAAAAAACGACAATGACATGCCTAATGTTGAAAATTACGAGCACCAGTGTGCACGTAATGGGGGTGTGAGAGGGAAGGGGACAAAGGGGCAGAGAACGTGTTTGAAGAAACAAAGTCTGGAAACTTCCCAGATTTCATTAAAAAGCGTAACTTACACTTCCAAGAAGCTACACGAACTCCAAGCCAAGTGAGTGCAAAGAGACCCGCATCTGGCCTGGAAACGAGGGCTGAACAGGGAAGCTGGCCCTGCCAGCCCTGGGCGGCGAGGGGCTAGCAGGGGAGTGAGGCCAGGCGCGGAGCCCAGCACTGTCATGCCCCAAATGTCCAGGCGACGGCAGACACTCGCCACATCACGCACCAGGACCTCTCAACCTGGCTGGGAAGGGACCAGCCGCAGACGCCAAAGCGAAGACAAGGTTTCGGAGCAGCCGCCACAATGTGCTCCAGTGGGCAGCTGTGAACACGCCCACAACAAATGGACACGCAGCGTCTCAGCGAAGAAACAAAAAACGTAAGAAAGGACCACGTGGAAATTTGAGAACTGAGATTAAAAAAAAACCTGGATGTGGCAAGTCACAGATTGGAGAGGGCAGAGAAGAGACTTGGTGAAACTAAAGATTACACAACAGAAACTACAAAATCTGAACAACAGAGAGAAACTACTAAAACAAACAAACGAAAACCAGAGCCTCCAGTATCTGAGGAACTAAAACAAAAGCACTAACATTCGAGTCACAGGCAGACCAGAAGAAGAACGGGAATGTGGGGCTGAGAAAGCGTTCGTGGAAATAATTTCCCAACGAAAAAACTCGAGAGACCCCAAAGAGGGTAAAAAACAATGACTCTGATGCTGAGGTACTGGATAGACAGAGAGAAATTCTTCACGGCAGGAAGAGGGTCACGTCGTCTCACCTACGAGAAAGCATCAATTCAAATGACAGTGGGTTCTCCATCCGAAACCATGACGACACTTCTCAAGTGCTGAAAGAAAGGAAATGTCAACTCGAAATTCTATATCCAGTGAAACCATCCTTTCGGAATGAAGAGGAAATTGAGACAGACTCAGAAGAAGGAAAAATAAGAGAATCTGTTACCAGCAGGCCTATCCTTAAAGAATAGCTAGAAGAAGTTGTTGAACCAGAAAGAACTGATAAAAGACAGGAATCTGGGAAAAAAGAAGGTTGGAAAGAGTAAAAATATAGAGAAATAAAATCAGCTTGCCTTCTACTTTTGAGTTTCCTAAAATGTGTATTGAAGTAAAAATTGTAACATTGTCAATGGGGTTCTCAAAGTATACTGAGGAATATCTAAGATAATGACATTATCTTACTTTACAGACAATTTAAATCAGGTAGGGAAAAGAGACTGAAAGATAGGTAAGGTGTCTACATTTCACTCAAACTGGTAAAAATGTCAGTATTAGCAGGATGTGATAAATTATGCATATATAATGGATACCTAGAGCATCCAGAAGATTCTACAGAAAGAGACACACTCAAAACACTATAGATAAATCATAACAGAATGCTAAAATAATATTCAGTTAACCTACAGGTAAGGAAAAAAACATCAAAACAACAGGCCGGGCGCGGTGGCTCACACCTGTACTCCTAGCACTCTGGGAGGCTTAGGCAGGAGGATTGCTTGAGGTCAGGACTTCAAGACCAGCCTGAGCAAGAGCGAGACCCTGTCTCTACTAAAAATATAAAAATTAGCCAGCCACGGTGGTATGCTCCTTTAGTCCCAGCTACTGGGGAGGCTGAGGCAGGAGGATCGCTTGAGCCCAGGAGTTTGAGGTTGCTGTGAGCTACGATGACACCACTGCACTCTAGCCTGGGTGAGAGAGAGAGACTGTCTCAAAACAAAACAAACAAAAAACAGAAATGAGCAACACAAGGAACAAAAAACACAAAAAACAAAATGGCAAGGCCAGTCTCCTTAGACGGGGAGGAAGGGCTGCTCTACTGGCAGAGAAGTGGGCAGGATTTAGGGCTCAGGTCCTCAGCTTCGCCGGCTCCTCCCACATGTTCGCATTCAATTTCCAGGAAACCTTCCCGTCTCAGTCAGCGCCCTTGGCTTAACAGCAAATGCCACGCCAAGCTGGGGTTCACCCTATGCTGTAACTCAGCACCTGCAGGATCAGACTGTGGTCTCCTTCGCGGTGGACACAAAAACGGGCAGGCCACTCGTGTGACGCCCTGAGCTCACTCTTCCCTTTCTCCCCACCGTGCAGCTGGGTTGGGCCACCAGCCCATCTCATGACACTCATCAGCTTGATGAGAACGTTCTCAGGCATCAAACTGATGGCCACCCAGGCTGTGCCTGTTTTAAGCACCTGACTAGGAGCAACCAAGGGTGATATTTCGCATATCCCTATTGCCACATCATGCCACGGACTGTCTGCTCCCACATCCCTGAAAACACAGCTACTGGCGACTTTAAATCCAGTCAGGTTAGAGAACCAATCCCAGAAACCAATTCAGAGACCTCACCCTTCACTCTTGATAGCAGAATCTGTGTTAGTCAGAGTTCTCCAGAAAAAGAGAACCAACAGGTTGCGTGTGTGTGTGTGCATGTGTGTGCACACGAGTGTGCACTGGTTGGGGGGAGACGGGTCTATTTTAAGGAACTGGCTCGTGTGATTGTGAAGCTGACACATAAGCTAACCACAAGGCAGCCCACTGATAGAATTATTAACAAAATTGGATGGGGAAAAAAATCACCTTGTTATTTTTACTAAATTCTAACTGAAATTTAGCATTTCCTTCAATTCTGAATGTAGGCCACCTGTGACTTTCACCAATAGAAACTCAGATACTTCTACATCACATCATGGTGGCTGCAGATCTCAAAACACTGTTAACGTTCACTGCTGCCGCAAGATCACCATACTTACTAGATCTGCCAGTGGCCTGCGCCATCCAACACATTAAGAGGAAGCACTGTATCACTCATTAAAGGAATACCAACGCACACCCCTCCTTATTATGGGCCATTCTTAATAAAGATGGTGTATAATTATCCAAACTAAATTAAAACAAAAATCCTATGGTTAGTCTGCTCTACTAAAAATAGAAAAATTTCAAAACTAGCCAGGTGTGGTGGTATCTATAGTACCAGCTACTCAAGAGGCTGAGCTGGGAGAATCCCTTGAGCCCAGGAGTTTGACGCTGCGGTGAGCGGTGATGACGCCACTGCACTCCAGCCCAGGAAATGGAGCGAGATCCTATCACTTAAAAAAAACAATCTATCCAGATGCACAAAAAGGCAGGAACTGGCCATGAAACACCAAGTCAAAAGACATGAGCCGGCTGCATGCAAAAGCTTGGCTATGGATGCGGGTGGCTGGAGAAGCTCGTTCTCCAGCTATGTTTGTGTTTCATCCTGTGAACTGGAACCAGATGATGTCCCCAAGGACGGCAGAGAAAGCCAGATGGTGCGCCAGCAGCCTCCACCGCAGGGCACGGTGCAGCCGTGAGCAGAAACATGCGTTGTCCTCACCCCTGCTGGGGCCAAGTCCTCGCTGAAGGCCGTGACAGAACAGACTGACCTCCCCCAGCAAGAGGGAGTCCTGCCAGCAGAGAACGCAGAGAATTGGGACCCTGAGTGCAACTCTGCCCAGTCTCCAGCCCACTGTGCCCCCCGAAGACTTCAGCCTTGCCAGGATGCACACTCTGCCGGCTGTTTCTCTGGAGAACCCCAACTGACGTGAACAGGAGCTCGGGGCCTAGGGCACCATAGTGTCTAGTTCCCAGAACAGGGCCGGGGCACCTGCCAGCCCTGCGACGACGCCGTGTGTGGGGAAGGATCTCCTCATCTCCTCTCCCTCGGCTGAGGAGAAGATCCGCCCTCAGGCCAGCGATCGAACCTGCGCTGAGCACAGGTGTGCCAGCCGGGCTCCAGGTGTAGCTTCTGCCTGCCACGGCCACGGGTGCCTGGCAGGGACATACTCACTGTCCTTCAAGTGACTTCAAAAATTAGAAACAACACATTTCAAAACTATTTCTAAAGAAATAATGATAGAAATTTAAAACACATAAGAATTTGAGCTTGCTGAACTTAAAACACCCCCCACCCCATCAAGGACGTGACCTTATGAAAAGGATAGGGGAGTACCGGGACAGCAAACTGAGCCAGTGGCGGGGAAGTGGAAAGACAGCCCAGGTTGCACAGCAGAGGCCTAGATGTTGAGTGGGGCGACTAGGCCCCTCTGAGAGCAGGACAGGACCCGAAGGCCCCAGGCCGTGGAAGGACCCGCCCAAGGGGACCCTGGAAGGAGTCGGAGGTGGAACCTCCACAGAGCCAGGAGGCAGCCCCCGAAGGCTCTCTCACCAAGCGGGGACTGCACGGCCCCACCCTGAAGGTCCCTCTGTAGAGCCCAGCGCTGACCCCACCCACACGGCGACACCAGAGGAGGGGCACCCCTCACAAACTAGAATAAATCACGCCGACAGGAAAAGAGCACCTGGGAAAAGCCAGACACCGTAAAGGCAAACGAGGCTAGCGATAATATCCTAAGAGACAACAGGTGAATTCCATGATGCAAGATCAGGATGCTTTCCAGAGAAACACTAGGAGAACAAAAGAGTTATCTGGAAAGTTAAAAATATAAGAGAAATAGAAAAATAGAAAGATGAGACACAAGAAATATAAATTAGAACAATAAGACAAAATAAGCCAAAAATAAGACAGAAAGACATAAGAAGACAAGCACAGGAACTCAGGTATGTATAAATCATTAAATGCGAAATATCCGACTTCGAATCAAAAGTGTAGTTTATTACATCTCAAAGCAGCAGTACAATTAATCAAAGTACGTGCCTAAACTATTGACACAGTTTTGCCATCTTAACAGTAGCTTGTTTGTGACAGCAGTGAGGGAGCCTGGAGCGCGAGTGGTTATGAAATCTCGAAGGCATGTTCCACAGCTTGTTGAGAAATGAGTAATTTCCCTTGCTAGACGTGGTCCAAAGCCTGGAAGAAGTGGTAGTCAGTTGGAGCAAGGTCTGGTGAACACGGTGGATGGCAGAATTTTCAAGTCTAGCCTTTATGGTTTGAGCAGCGTTGTTTGTGTGACATGTGGTCTTGCAAGAGGATTGGCCTGTCTCTATCAACCAATCTTGGCTGCTTAATCACAAGCATCCTCATCATTTCATCCAATCGGTTGCAGCAGACATCCACTGCGACTGATTGACCGGGTTTCATGAAGCTGCAGTGGATGATACCAGCGCTGGACCACCAAACAGACACCATTAGCTTTTTTTGATGAATATTTGGTTTTGGACTGTGTTTCGGCACTTCGTCGGTATCCAACCATCGTGCTGAACACTTGCAACTGTCAAAAAGAATCCATTTTTCATCGCATGTAACAATATGGTATAGAAATGGTTGGCTTTTATGTCATGACAGCAAAGAAAGGCAAGCTTCGAGACGATTTCTCTTCTGACACTCGTTTAATTCACATGGAACCCATCTATCCAGCTTCTTTACTGTGCCCATGTTTCAAATGGTCCAATACTGTTGGAATAGTAACGTCTAACCTTGTTGCTAATTCATGAGTAGATTGAGATGGATTCGCTTCCACTACAGCTTTCAGCTCATCATCATCCACCTTGGTCCCAGGTTGCCCACATGGCTCATTTTCAAGATTAAAATCATCAGAACAGAACTTCTCAAACCACTGATGTACTGTGTGTTCACTCGCCACATGCTTCCCAAACACTTTGTTGACATTTTGAGCTACAGCTGCATTGGTTCCACAACAGAACTCATATTCAAAAATAATGCAAATTTTTTACTAATCCATGGTTTCACAAAAATTGCTCTAAAAAAATTTGAATGATAATCGTAAGCCAAAACATGTATTTGAAAGAATGAGGATGTACCTTAACAATAAAAATAAAACTAGAAGTGTCAAAGTGAAATGTCAGAGATACCAACTGTCAGACTGAGTACTTAAGGAAATAGGATATTTCATACATAATAACCTAATAAACCATGAGACACAGAGAAAAATTTTTTTAACAAAGGGAGAAATTACACTTAAACATTCTATAAATTTCATACCAAAGACACAACAAAAAATCAGAACAGAGCTCATCAACCAGACTGACACTAGACCTAGTCTACCCTCTGTGACCTGACAGATGAGGGCCCGTCCGGAACCACCAAAGAGAAGCCACAGACACAATAACGTCTCTAGCATGGTGTATACAGCAGGTGCATAGCCCACCCTCAGCATGCTGGATGTGGACTGATAGGGTGCGGTGGACAGGCCCCGTGCCCGCACGCAGGTCTCCCTGTGGGTGGGCCCCACGCAGTGTACACAGCAGACTCACCTGTCAGCCACCTCCAGGTCTGACTCCATCTTGTCCAGGCCCCTCATGACGCCGTCCAGCTGCTGGCCCTGGTGGTGAAGGACTCTCGCGGTGTCCTCCAGGCGCCTCTGGGAGCCAGCCATCAGTGCCGTGAGCTCCTCCCCCCGGGTCCTGGGGGCGGGTGCCCCGGCCATGGCTCCAGGCTGCGACAGCAACAGCTCTCTCCAGAAGTGCTCGATGATGCTGAAGACCACATTCCGACTTGGCCGCAGGGAGCCGAACCAGTGCTTGGCGCCACCCTTCTCCAGGATGGTGAGGGAGCTGAAGATGAAGTGTGAGGCCTCCTTCTTGATCTCGGCGACGCTGGCCAGGGGAAAGCCAACAAGAATCTCTCCCGTGCTGTCAGCCATGAATCTGAGTGCCTGCGGCGTCAAGGACAGTCTTCCTGGCACCCATCGCTTCTCGAGCTCCGCATAGTAGGTGCACGGCCAGGTGTGGATGACGCAGACGTCCCCGCTCATCTGCTCCTGGGCTGGTCTGTGCCGAGGGCCAGGCCAGTGCTTCCGCCTCTGAGGGAGAAGGGACAGGACTCAGGGAAGGGCAGTGCAGGAGACCCCATGCAGGCCTCAGTCTCTGGCCTCACTCTCAGGCCCTTCCCAGAAACGCTGTCTGTGATGTCCCCTCTCTATGCACATTCACACAAGTTTCTACTCACATTCCCCTTTGGAAACTCTTTTTCTTTTTTGAGACAGAGTCTGGCTCTGTTGCCTGGCTAGAGTGCAGTGGCGCGATCACAGCTCACTGCAGCCTTGAACTCCTGGGCTCAAGCGATCCCCCAGCCTCAGCCTCCCAAATAGCAGGGACTACAAGCGCACACCACCATGCCTAGCTAATTTTTTAATTTTTTGTAGAGAAGGGGTCTCACTCTGTTGCTCAGGCTGGTCTTGAACTCCTGGCCTCAAGCAATCCTCCCGCCTCAGCCTCCCAGAATTGGGATTACAGGCCTGAGGCACTCGCCTGGCCCCCTTTTGACATTTCTATATACTCATTTAATGCACAGAGGAAACGATCCTACAGACGAACCTCCCCCTCTCTTACTCCCAGCTGACCTCGTGGAGTTCTACACACCGGGGCAGTAACATGCACATGCACCAGTTCCCTGTCTCTGCAGTTCTAGAAAGCTCTAAGTGGTGAAGGCCTCCCATTCGTACGTTCACAGTTACACTCATCAGTGCCGTGTGAGCAGTCTCGGACGACAGACCTGAACGAGCGCCCAGGGAACACGCAGTCCCACCCTCTCGCAGTACAGATCAGGAGTGGGCCTCGTGTGAGGCCCAGCCCCGAGTCTGCGACTCTGCCGGGGCCAAGCCAGGCCTGGGGACACGAGCTCCGGCTCTCAGGGGCAGAGTGGTGGCCCCGCGACAGCGTGGCACACGTTCCACTTCTCTCTCTCACGCAATTTATCTGACGTGACTTCCTTCGTAAAAACAGGAGAAAATAACTAGTGCTGAGATACCGAAAAGTGCGGGCTTTCCGCAGCACAGCCGGAGGCTCTGGGACCCTCCTGGCTCAGGCAGCGCGTGCGTGAGCCCTCCTGTGTGGCAAGCGCGAGAACCCCACAGCGACGTGGTACCGGGCTCAGGAGCCAGGGACAACTGGGACCATTCATCTCCTCACAGAGCTGCACTACTTGGCATGACCGCCGCACTAGACACCATGTCACGCAGTACACGGCAGAAGGGGACGCACGGAAAAGTGCCCCCTGCGCTGCAAGAGCCTGGGTCAAAGTGAGACTCTAATCGCACAAGAGGAGGCAGTCTGAGGACAGGCAGCGGTGGCCAGACGCACACTGCGGGGCGCACAGCAGCCACTGCAGCGGAAGGAGTGTGGCTTGACTGTGGCCACCTGGCTGGTCCCCTTGTCCACGGTGTGGCCCATGAGGCCACAGTCTTTGTCCCACAGCAGGCAGAGCCCATCCCGCTCCCCCAGGGGCGGTAGGGGCCATGTGCGCACGCATGCAGTCGCCACACTGCAGGGTGCCACCTGTCCACAGGACTGGGAGCCCCAAAGGGCAAGGGCCACGTTTCATCTCTCATACTTCCTGGGTGACAACCTCATCACTGAAGGAATGGGACAGACGCTCATGGTTGGTGGTGTCCATTCGACTGGGACCCTGGGGACGGCAGACTTGATCAAATGCCCTATGACAGGACGATTCGATCCGAGCCAAATTAATGGGAGTGCCGTGGGAAAATCTGCCAGAAGCCAAGACGGTGCAGAAACACGGGGTGCAGGTGGTCGGGAGGCAGTTCCACACCTCGTCTCTGCATGTCTGTGGCAGCTTTCGTCCCGCGCTATTTTGACGACGCCTGCACAGGAGGCAGCCGTGGCCGTGGCTGCCATCTCCCACCTGGTCCGAGAGGAGATCTAACCGGGATGACGAGGACACTGTCTGCTTTGCGGGCAGAATGAGGCCGGCTTGCAAACAGGCCCCTCACTGAACTGGGGGTTTTCTGAGCTCAGGACTGCCCAGCTGTGACCCAAACGCACCATGGGACTCAGGCAGACTGGAAGGCCCTATGTCCCCAGTTGTGACGTCCAGCCCCAGGGTTTCCTTAAGAAGGTGGCAGGCTCACTTACTGGCTGGCAAGGAGGGTGCCGCCTGGACCCTTCGCTGCCCGTCAGTGACGTGCACTACATCTGCAAGGCCATCCTGTCCTGGAGTGTGCGTCCTTCGTGCCAGATGACTTCTCTCCGATAAAACGAGATATTCACGCGGCAAACTCCACCAATCCATTCCCTCGACTCATAACACCCTAGGATGGTTCCACTCAAGGTGACATCAAAACTTCTTCCACATTGTAATTCAGTTGACAAATCAGCATATGAGGCCGGGTGCGGCAGCTCACGTCTGTAATCCCAGCCCTTTGGGAGACCAAGGTGGGAGGACTGCCTGAGGCCAGGAGTTGGAGACTAGCCTGGACCACATAGTGAGACCACGCCTCCACAAAAAAAATAATTATCCAGGCATGGTGGCACCTGTAGTCCCAGCTACTGGGGAGGCTGAGGCAGGAGGATCACTCAAGCCCAGGAATGGGAGATTACAGTGAGCTAGGATTGTACCACTGCACTCCAGCCTGGGCGACAGAGCGAGGCCTTGACTCTAGAAAATAAAAAAAAAAATACCTGGGTGTACTGAACATGTACAGACTTTTCTCCTTGTCCTTATTCCCTAAACAACAAAGTGCAACAACCATTCACGTAGCATTTGCATTGTGCTAGGTAACACAGGTAACCTGGAGATGATTTCAAGCACGCGTAAGGTGTGCGCAGGTTACACGCAAATACCACACCACTTGCCGGTATCTGTGGTGGGTCCTGGGGTCAATCCCCTAGGGATACCGAGGGCGACTGTGCCTGAAGTTAGGACAAGTCTAAAAGAAATGCTGTCATCATTACAAAATAAGATGAGACTTAAAAGTAATGAAAACATCAGGGTTCCAGGGACCCTAGACATCATCTAGGCCAACAGGCTCGGTTGTCTTTTGGTTTTTGTGTCAGGGATAGGGTCTCAGTCTGCTGCCCAGGCTAGAGTGCAGTAGCATCGTTGTAGCTCCTGGGCTCATGGGATGGTCCTGCCTCGGCCTCCCAAAGTGCTGGGATTACAGGCGTGAGGCACCGCACCCGGTCCCCAACTGGCTTTGTTTTACAGAGGAGGAAGCACAGCTCGTCCATGGCAGAAGCGGCAGGAGTCCAGGGCCACCCTGCCTGATCCTATCTCCTGCATCATTAAGTATCTGCAGGGACGTCAATCCTGAGAAAGTGACGGTCTCGGGTCTTGGGTATCTAGGAGGTGCAGCACACAGTCCAGACACCAGGGGAGGGCTGGGTGAGCAGACAGAACAGATATGTTCAAAGACAAGCAACAAGAAGACTGCCCGTGATTGCCACTCAAGAATGAAAGCAGCAAGCGTAGAGAACATTCTAGGACAGCCTGCCAAGGCCTGAGTTCCAGGGAAGGCAGGCCTTCTCTGGTCCCAAGGGGGGACACAAGGGACACACTCTGACACACGGGACAGAGCAGAAAGCAGCAGAGGCTAGCAGTGATCACGACCCCCCATGTCATGGAGGACATCCGGGCCTAGGGCTAGAAGAGCCCGAGGAGACAGGGCCTTGTACGAACCTGTCCTACGAGCCAGACCGAGGGGAAGCCCAACATCAAACGTGCTCCAAGCAAAGCACCTTGCGCCCTCCCCAGGGAGGCTCCGGGAGATTTCCTCAGTTGCCCAGGCCTCTCCCTGCTGAGCGGAAGACTGGCCTCGCCCCCGAAGGAGGGCCTGGCAGGTGAGGCTGCGGCATGGTCCCCGCCCCGCTGACGGCACAAGAGCCGCCTTCCCACACGACAACACCTCGCACCACGTGGACTGAGCCAGCGTGAGCCCGGAGTGGCATGCGGCTCAGCGGATCCTTACCCCCCTCAGAGGAACCCTCACTGGAGCACTGCGGACGGCCCGCGCCAGACAGCGAAGAAGGCACTCGGACCCCCAGGGCCCCAGCTGACACAGCCACGCGGGGCCAGTGAGCCCTGACCACAGCCCCCAGGAGCGGTTCTGCCATGGCTGCCACGAGGCCACCCTGCAGGCCCTGGGCTATGTGACACAAAGGTGTCTGCTGCTCAGAATCAGGGGAGGGTGGAGCCCACCAACTCAGCCACGGTGCTCACAGTGTCGGACAAGCCGACGACCAAGCCTGTGTCCTATGCTCCTGGCTGAGGGGCTGCCTGGTCCTCAGCCAGGCCTGGCCTGTGGGGGGAGGGACCACACCTTGTCACCATCGTCTCTGCACACCTGGAGAGCTAGACCCAGCGCGAGAAGTGAACCCGCATTAACGGTTACCTGACCCAAGCCCGGTCCTTGAGCACGTACAGCTGGAATGAAATTAAACACAAAATCCCTGAAGAATTATGACACCTGGCATCACAGAGTCAGCGGAAGCACGCTGTGGTTCCAACTCTGGCCCCGCCACAAACTTTACGGCTCCGGAAACGTTACCTCACCTTCCGGACCTGTTTATCCACCACCAAAATAACTGAAACACCTAAGAACAACACCAGCCTAAAATACCCTAAAGTTCAAAGAGAGAAGAAATGAAGGAAGATTGAAAAATTAGGAGGCAAACAAGACGCTTCTCATTATCATGCTACGGGCAACGAACACGAGAGAGGTATTCAAGTTTGACCGATACGAAAGGAAGAATCCAAGGGAGAAACATGTGGCCATAACTTTTCCAACCACAGATTTCCAGGGCACCTTTCCCAGAAAACCAAAGTCAACAGAGATCAAGGACAAGGGCGGAAGTGAGAACACCCCACAGTGCGTCAGAAGCCGCCCAAACTTGGACTTGGCCCCTGTGCCTGACCGACACACCTGTCCCCATGTGGAGGCCACAGGAACGGGGTCCCTGCTCCCCTCAAGGCCAGGCCCTCCTCATGGGCCCTGGACCCCACCGTTGCCCTCTCTCCTATGCCAGGCACCATAACCCTTGTCAAGAGCCACACGTGGTCTCTG